AATGTTAGCAGTGCAAGGGAGATGATGCTTGTTGGTACTGAAATTAAATCAATGATGAATAATATATCAAAATGGCTCTATACCTTTCTTTTTAATAAATCAAAAAACAGAAAGGACTTTTTTGGTTAGCTTGTACAATAAATGTAAAATTTGTTTCTATGTAAAAGTCAAGCTTTCTTGAGGGGCAATATGATGACCACATTTATCAGTATGTAATATGCATGAAATGTTTTTTTTTGGGGAATATATGATTTTAATATTGCATAGTAAAATTCATCTTGATCCTCTGAGCTGAACAGTTAGAATTTTCAGCATTTTCTCAACCCACTTCACAATATTAATATTTCAATGACCAAACATTATATAATTTTGGAAAGGGTTGAAGAAACTTCAGAAAGGATCTGTCAAATATATTTAACTTTGATGGGAAGGGGAATATGTAAATAAAATTTATGTTTCATGAATATAGCTTATTCTTCAGACCAAGAACTTGTCTGTACTTTCTTGTAGTCAGTGGCAATTTTTTGATTAAGTAAATCTAAACTGTTTGATAACAACTTCACTTAAGACATGTTTGCATGTTGGGTTCCCAAAGTAAAACTTCATGATTTTAAATTTCTTAAATAATCACCGCCCAGTAGATTATTCATTAAATTATTGTTTTCTCTTTTTCTATATTTGTTCACACTGAAAAAGAAGGGAATAAATGCTTGGCATTGTTCTTTTTTTTAAGTGTTTCCCGCCAAGCAAGGTGGGAATCCACTAGCATGCAAGGGGTTACGGAGAGTTGGAGCGAGAGCAAATAGGAGTGATAGAAGAAAGGATAAAGAGAAAGATAGGGGATAGATCAAGGCATCTGGAGACATTGATTGACATTACAATTGAATAGTTGGAGATTATAGCTATCAGGGAAACAGGAAAAGGGGAGGGAGTTCCACAGGTGAGAGGTGCAAGACATGAAGCTATTGGAGTAGAAGAGATGGCTACATTTAACAGTTTTGGCAGTGAAAGGGTGAGAGCGAGATGCCAGCCTAGTAGAACGCTTAAATTCATGAAATCTGGGAATCAGCAAAAGCAGCTCATCGGAGGAATTACCATGAAAGTATTTGTAAAAAAGACAAAGGGAGGCGATGGCATGTCTGTGAGAGAGCCACTGCAGACAAGATGCCAGATTAGGGCCAATTACATTGCATATCCATCTCTGGATTTTATCAAGAACCTTGAGAGAAACAGAAGGGGCTACAGACCATATATGGCAGCAATACTCCATGCAAGGGCAAATGGTTGATTTGTAGATTTGAAGGATTGACTCCGGTGAGAAAAATTTCCTGGCATGGCACAGGGAGCCAACTTTCCTTGCAGTGGACGAGGCTATTGACTCAATGTATTTGTTCCATCTCAGGTCAGCAGTCAATGTGAGACCGAGTAGTCGTAAAGAGGTGCTCTTGAGAAGTTGAGCGTTAGACATTCTAATGGGGGCAGGGATAATTCTCTGTGGTGAGTAATAGAGAGCAGTTTTGTTTTTGAGGCATTAAAGTTAACCAGCCAATTCCTGCCCCCGTTCACAACCAATTGGAGGTCCTTTGTAGGGTAAGATTTTCAAAAATCCATTTCTAGGCCTATCAATTTTATTTTCAAATAAATTAAATTTCTCATGACCAAATAGACAAGGAATTACATAGGTCATGTGAACTATGCGTATTTCTGGCTTAAGGCCATACCACATTGAAACACCAGTTTTTGTGTGATCACCAAAGTTAAACAACAAGAAGTTTAGTCAGTACCTATGGGAATACCTGATACAGTAAGTTTAGATGTGCATCTGGTGAAAGGGATAGCAGTTAAGTTTTAATTCCAGTTGGAATCACTTATACAGAAATACCCTTGGGAAAGGTATGAATGCACCTCTTCTCCATCCAGCTATGGATTAAATAGTAGAACTTATATCTGAAAATAATTATTATCTACAAAAATTGTTAATACAATATTCACTTGCAAAAAAACTATTTTTAGAGTGAGTGGCTATCATTAAATATAAATAAATAAATGGTAGAACTGCCCAACAAACAGAATTGACAAAGTTTGCAATAAGCAATAACAAGAAAAAGAAGAGTGCAAAAAATAATATAAAGCAAGCAAACAATATATGCAAAGCAAACTAAAAGTAATATAGCAAAATATTCACAAGCTATGAATTGGGGCTGGCACACAAGAGCAAATTTAGATAAGTGAATGGAGCATTCAGACCTCAAGACGAGACAGATTGGGACTGAGTCAGATGAAACCATGAACCAGACTATTTTATTGCCTAAGAAGAAACCTCAACATACATTTGTATTGCTTTTGCCTGTAAAGTGAGGAGAGAAAAGTATTTTGTAATTATTCTAAGTAGGATTGGATCCAACATTTTATAATTCAAAAATGTGAACAGCTTTAAATAACCTACAACATGTTGATAAACTGTAAATAAATCAACCAATCAACTACATATTTCCAGTGAATTGTTACTTCACAAAATTTTAATTGTTTTAAAAAAAAATGTGTCATTAAACTGTTCTCGGGATGCAAGAAAATGCCATTGGATGCTATTGATTCATGATTTTACTTTTTGTAACAATTTTGAACCATAGCTGAACCATTATGTAATATTGGCCCTCTTATATGCTCGTGAATACTCCTCACAGATGAAGAAAAGGTGAGGCAATAAAAATATAGTTCTTCAGAAGGATGCTGAGAATACCATGGATTGAAAATGTCAGCAATGACAAAGTTTTAGAGAAAATGGAAACAAAAAGAACACTTATATTTAACATTAGAAAGAGAGTTGAATTCTAAGGCACATGGTGAGGAAAGAGGGATTTGAAAATTTGATACTCACAGAATATAATGGAGGCAAGGGGAACAGAGGAAAGCAGCATATAACTACCTAATGAGTTTGTGTAAATGAATAACAGAACAGGTTTTAGGAGAGATAGTAAAAAGATAAAATTTACTATAAGCTACACAGAAATTGTGAAGAACCATGATCACCAACATCCTGAATGGGCATGGCACATAGAAGAAGCTGCTAACTTTAAGTCACCTCCTACTTCAGAAATAAAGAATTCTAAAGTTTTACTTAATGATCCCAAAACACAAGAGTAGGGATTCAGGCAACATGAATATGTCTCAAGAAGTCGTAAAAAAATCACTTTTTAGTAAAAATGTGAAAAAAAAAGTTATTAAGAGCTATAGTAAGAAAAAAATAATTCTATTCATCACATAACTTTTATTACAATATATTGTTATAATTGTTCTATTTTATTATTAGTTTTTGTTGTTATTGTGCCTAATGATTGTAATGATAATATCAGTCATTTCCCTACAAGGAAACATTTGACATTCATTGCCTGAGTAGGCAGTAGAGTTTTTTTCAGTTGAAATTTATAAAATTTTTCTCTTAAAACAATTTTTCAGGAAAATAGTTTTTTCAAGTCCAGTAGCTTTTATCATTCTTTCCAGTATTGATGAGAGTTTCCTCCTTAACTTTTTATTTGAAGTAGGATGAAATGTCAATATCTTGATTATGTCATTATTTCCTCTTCAAGTTACATGTGATATCCATTTTAGTCATTACTACTAGTCTTCAAGTGATGTGGTTTCTGTTATTTGGTTCAGTTCTTTGTTTGTGATTCTGTAACACCAGTCTACAATCTTCAATATGTGTGTGTGTGTGTATAAGTTTTAACTTAGTTTAAGTTCTAAACAGTACCTAATGAGCTCATATAAATGGATGGTAGAACAGGGTTTAGGAAAGATAGTAAAAAGATAAAATTTACTAAGAGCTATGATCACCAACATCCAGAAGGGACATGGTATAAAGAAGACTTTTATTAATTTCTTAATATGCTTAATTTATAAATTAAGATATATTAGAGGAGTGGATGTAAAAGAATAAAAAAATTATATATGGAGTTTAGTACGAACTGTGAAATCCATTAGGGTCTTGAACCATAACTCATAAAGATCAAAGATGACTACTGTAAAATATCTTTGAAAGATTTTCATAATTTTTACCTTGACTCATCTACAACTGTGTAATGCATATGATATTGTATGACTTTCCTGTTCACTTAGTGTGAGCTACATTACTTGATGAAAGGATTAGATAGTTATCTTGACTCATGAGAGAAGGAGTTAGTCATGCTAAACAGAATACCTCATGTCATTCTCACCATGAAATAGAAATGATTGATGCCAGACAGTTTTGACATTAGCACATATTGTCTGATACTTGAACCAATAAACACTGTTAAACCTTTACATTATGTGATTGAAAAGTCATCAATGAAAGAAAGAAAGAAAAAGAAGGGTACAGCATCCCTGACCATGATTCATTTATACAATATGTCCAACACCAGATAGAGTTTTATAAAAACAATTATAACTTAAGATGAAATGAAGAGAAGACACTGAATCTCATGCTACGTTCAATTAGAATATTGTCACTGATATTAATATCTAAAGAATTAATGGATTTTATCTATAATCTAAAATTATTTTAAAACACATCTGGCTTGAAGGAGCTCTCACCAATATAAGTAGGATGCAGGTTCAAACTCTGCTGAAAGGCACATTTTCTTTAATAAAGACTTTTGAATGCCCAGGCTGGTAGGTATCAGTTACAGTATTTTAAAAAAAAAGAAAAGAAAAAAAAAACAACTATGTCTACTTACACACATTGATTGATTTGTTTTCTATGGCTTATCAACCCTTTGCAGGTTATTTAAAGCCACAAAATATTTCTACATTGTAAGAATATTTTTTTTGAGATAATAATGATTTAGTGATACAAGTCATATCTGAGGGTGTGATAGAGAAGAGATGGATTCACACCCTTTCCCAAGGGTATTTGCATGTAGGTGAATATAACAATCCCAACTGGTATTGGAACTTGGCTCTCTGATTAACAATCAGAGCCATTATCCATTACACCACACACACACACATCCAGGTTTACAAACACCTGGTATTCCCAAGTGATCATTCATCTAGGTGTTAACTTGGCTTGATGTTGCTTAACTTTGGTGATCATATGGGAACTGGTGCATCAATTTGATATGACTGTAAGCCAGTTATATACAGGTATTGACTAAAATATAACACTGATATTAATAAACTGATATTAATTTAAAAATATAGTTAAAGTTGTAAATAAAAATAGAATCTCTATCTATAAAAGGCAGGATGTGTGTGTGTGTAATGAATACACAGCTGCAATTTTCGACGGATTTGCACCAAAATTTACATGCACAAAGTTAGCGGGAAGGCCAAGACTGACTTTGCATTTCCCAACTCCCATCGATAGTGGAAATAATCAATTTTTTCATGCTTCTATGGCAGTTTTCATGTAGTTTGTGACCATTTTCTACTGGCCAGAGTGAGAGTTTATAGCTGGCTGCCACGAATAGGCAGGAAGATTCTAGTGGCCAGCGTGAGAGCCAACAGCTGATGACACAAATGTTAACTAGCATGCAAAAAAAAAAAAAAAAAAAAAACATCGATAGCTGCATTCATCACAAGTGGGAAAAATTTAAATTTGCATGGCACTTTACTCCAATTGGCTCATTAAACACTTAAACTCAACATTGATTCTGATTCCGCAGAACTGGGTTGGGTATGAAAAAAGTATTTGTTGTTAACATTCTTTTTTCATTTGGTTTTTCCAGTTATGAGTTGTTTTTTAAAGTGGACTGTTTTGTGTTCATTTTGTTTGGTTCTTTTTTTGTAACAGATTTAATGTTTAGTATAGAGCTTAGAAAAAATTTGCAGTGTGAGATAGGCAAGAAGTAAGGCAAGTAGCAACATCAGCACGGCACTCTTTTAAAGACAATTAAGGGCAAAAATATTTTAAGTCAAGTGATAGCGATTGCTGTATGAGTCGTACGATTTTTGAATCAAGCACGGGCAATGCCGGACTATGCTGCTAGTATTGTCATAAAAGTCATAAGTGAGTGTACATAATAGAAAGTATTAAATAATATATTAACAAATAATGAAATAGAAAATTGTATTGCATATCAAGTATTTTTCAGATGTGTCTTGTAAACTTGTATAAATGAAAAGTACATTCAAAGGAGAAACAAAATAGTTTATTAATTTTTAATAGAAGAAAAAATCTCAGAAATATTTTAATAAAATTGCTGTTATTAACTGTTATTATTTTTTTATTCTAAATGAGCTGAATTCAAATTAGTAAAACTCCAACATGTTCTCTTATATCTGACACTAATATTAGCCTTCTCCCTACAAGGAAATATTTGGCATTCACTGACTGAGCAGTTAGTACTGCTTTTGCATGAAATTTATAAAATCTTTCTCTCAAAACAATTTTTCAGGAAAATAGGTTTCTCAAGTTTACTGTTATTGTTCTTTCCAGTATTGATGGGGTTTTTCCTTCCTTGCCTTTTGTTTCAGGTAGAGTGGACTGTCAGCATCTTGATTGTCATTATTCTCTCTCTTTGAGTTACATGTACTAATCATTTTAGTTGTTGCTGCTGTTGAAAGTCCTCAAGTGATATGGTTTATGTTACCAGGTACAGTTCTTTGTGATTATGTAGGATGAAAGAAGGATAGTCCTCACGTACTTCACTTGCTCAAAGTCATTTTAACCACGGATTTAAGAAAGCAGTTGTATACAATGAGTTTGGTGCCATATATGGCATCCATATGAAATTTAAGAACATGACTAGTTTTTAGGTTAATAGGAGCATGACTCAAGATTTTAGGTTAAAAATCTCGGTTTAAGCTGGATAATGCTTAGAGTGTGGGTTACCCCTACTTGGCTTTGCCAGGTTCACCAAGATGTCTTTAAATGGTGCTGTTAAACAGCTATGAAAATGGGACACTTCCTGTTTTCTTTCTCTTTTCTCCTTCTAGTATGTGGTAGAAGTAATAGCAGTATGGGACTTGTCCCCAGCATGGGGATATCTTTCCCTGGAGTGACTGAACTCTTTTGTACATGTGTGTATCAATCACACAATTCCTAAATTTTAATGTTGTCTTTCTTTTCATTTACATGACATACTAGTGTATTTTCTCTTCTTTGTTAATCAGTTAATAGTTATATAAAAGCACATGAAAATATCAACTTGTTGGCATTTATTCCATTTTCCTTTCACCTATGAAAGTAATGATGACCTATCATTTGCATGTGTAAATTTTGTTTGCCACTGCTTTTATCCTAAGAGCACTATTGAAACAGTAGCAATGAAAAATATTAAATGATCAAATCAATTTATTTTTATTTGAAATCACATCATACTTTTGTGCAGTGATGGAGAATACTAAATATGCTATTTAGTTATGTTTCTCAAACTGAACCCCCAAAAAATGAATACAAACAAAGAGATGACCATCTTTTTTTTTGTTCAATGAATAACAATCTGAGAATTTTGAAATCATTTTTAGAATAAGTAACTACTTATTTTGACTTTTTTAGCACCAGAAAGAAAACTGAAATTTCTTGGGTACATATTGAAGAAAGAGGGTTATGAAAATTTGTTCCTCACAGGACAGATTGAAGGCAAGAGGGACAGAGGAAAACAGTGTAAAACCTACCTAACAAGACTGTGTAAATGGATCGCAGAACAGAGTTTAGGAAAGATAGCAAAAATACAAAATTTACTAAGAGCTACAAAAGACAGGAAGTTTTGGAGAGCCATAATCACCAGCATCCTGAAGAGACATGGTACATAGAAGAACATTTTGACTTTAAGAGAATATTTTAAAGAATATAACTGGAAACTAAGGGTCTAAATTCTTTGATTATATCTCTAGACATAAACATATTCTTAATAAAAGTTATTAAAAAAAAATATTTTGTCATTTGTACAGAACATTAACATGAAAGATTTGTAGACAAAAAAAAAGAAATGCTTTGAAAATCAGATGAAAAATGTAAAAAATTTCATGAATAAAAAATAAACCAAGAGAAACACTCTTCAAATATTTAATGAATAAAAAAACTATATTGATTAGCAATATTATCTTCTAGCAGTTAAAGTTTTTTTTTTATAGCAATTTTAAAATATTTTTTTTCTTTCAACACTTTTGATCTAACAAACATCTGAAACAAATGGACATGAACAACTATTAGTTTTTATTAATTTGAACATTAAAGAAAAACTTCAAAATGATGTATTTATTTAGTTTTTTGCTTTCAACTTACAAGCTTTTCTATTTGTGGCAATGACCAGTTTAGTTTGAGGTGAATGGAAAAAGTTTAAAGGATAAAATCAAAAGGTCTTTTATTCATTTTTGAAAGTTAGCTAACATTAGTTAAATAAGTTGAAAATAGACCCACAGTGTAGCTTTTTAAGCTAATTTCCATGGAAAACTGGTGTAGATATTAGGTGGTCATTACTAAAACTGATAAGAATCTAAAAGCATGATTTTCCTGCATTTTCTACTGACTCAAAAAAGAAATTTAACTGATTTCTGGCTATGACATTTTCAGTTATATTGTTTGCTTTATAGGATAAAAATAAAAAAAAAACAAAGAAAAAAAATTTAGTTTAGCTAACCTGATGAACACAAAGTAAAGGACCAGTTTAGCATCATACATTGTAAATAAAACACTTTTACTAAAGAAAAAATTTATGCTAAAAACATGCTTCAGAGTCCTATTCAATAATCATACAACATTCAATGGACAAAGTTCTAGCTTTCCTTCATTTGTGTGATGAGAAAGAAAAAACATTTGGTAAATTATAGTAAGATGTAGTGTAAAGTGAAAAGAGTTTTTTGAAAACTCAGTGAATAGAATACATGTTGCTCACATGTTCAGTCCTTGGTATTCTCAACATCCTTCTGTAGAACTACATTTCTGTTGCTTCTAGTCTCTTTTTCATCTATAAGGAGATTTGTCCAGCATTCACTGACTTATAGGAAGACTGATATTATGTATCAGTTCACCAATCTTTTCTTTGTTTCTAATGAAATTTTCCTCTTTCTTAATACCTTGCTTAGCATTTTTTTGCATTCTATAAACCATTAAAAATGGAAATAAAGAATTAAATTATACTTTGAATTATACAATAGGGAATAACTATTCTGGGTAGGAAAGACACGTACACTCAGGGTATCACACCTGTATCTTCTTTCCTGGATTATTTAGCCTTCATTAAGGGTGCTGGGGGTAAATGTTTTCAAAGATTTGGTGTTATCCACCAGATAGCAAGTGATCTGAATCTTTGAGTAACTTTGGAAAAGGCTATCCTATCAGCAGATGTATAATATCAGGGCTATTATACTAACATTTTGTGAATGTTTTCTGAACCATGCAGTAATCTTCAGTGGGACCTCTCAATGCCCTGATGCTATAGCTGTATCTCTGGAGAATTCAATCCAGGTTACAGATGCACACATCTCTTGTGGGTGTGGCTGTCTCACTACCTAGTCTAATGCTCCAGAAAGTACCTAATTCCTTTTGCTATTCTTTTTCCTCAATAAGAGTAGATAGTTTTGCCTATTGTTCGGTTCACACACCTTCTTGTTCTTTTGAAAAGGAGTAGAGATTTATCCCTTGTTCCCTGTTTAGGATTAGGTTTACAGCTCTTTCTAACGTCTACTTCAACTTTATGCTTCTAACATCTCTCAAATTTTAATTACTATTGATTTACTTTTTCTTTTCTCAATAGGCGTAGATAGGTTTGCTATTGTCCAGTTTATACCCCACCTCGGTCTTTTGAACAGGAGTAGAAGTTTATTCCTTGTTTCCTTCAGTATCTGTCTATATTTCTGAGATGAGGTATTATGTATATTATTTACATTATTCAGACTATTGTCCTCATCTTTGTTGCTATATTTATTACAACGTTTCGGCCATTGTACGCTCCGGCCTTCTTCAGGTGTTTGGAATGTTGAACTGAATTCTTTATTTCGCTCGCTGGGGTAGACTGTTCTAGTTCCATGTGCCATGTTTAATCGATGTCAGTTATCAGTTATCTCCTGTTAATTTCCCTCTGAAAGTTTTCCACTGCCTTAACCGGGTATTGAACTCACACTCTTTGGGTCCTGTCACTGGATCCAACTAACACCTTTATCCACTGTGCCATGTGTCCTTGAG